CCTGCCCCACCCCCGCCCACTCTGAAAGCAGCCCCAGCCTAGCCCCCTTGCCAGGGAGTGGCTGGCACAGCCCCTGGCCCCCAACCCACACTATACAGCCCACCCTTGCCCTGGGCACAAATCCGGTGGGGAGGGTGCATGCAGCAGTAGGGAGCCGAACCCCTCCCCTCTCTGGATGAGCTTGCAGCTCCATCCCACTCCCAGCCCTGGGGTCACATTCACCGCCCAGGCAGGGCAGCACCTGCCCATGCCCCACTTCCTCCCTCACATGAGAGCCCTGATCTGCCCTCCTCACCACAGACTTACTGGCAGGAGGCTGCTCTCCAAGCTGCCGGGCTGTATTCCTGTAAATCGGCTATTGGATCAGTATTGACCAACATGGCTGGTTAATAACTGGTTGTCAGTATCGGTCAAAAAATCTATCCGCACACCCCTAATTGAAATATGTGTTGAAATAACGTGTATAGTTTTAAAGTGCTGTCTAATTACTTTGTATGTGCAAAACAATATTTATGTGCTACTCCTACCTCACTCACTCGTATTGTGCTTTTTCCTAAAAAAACCCAGGATCTTTTTAGAATCTCGTTTACAGAATTCTCAAAGACTCTTGGAGTACACAGATTGGCTGTACTGATTTCAATGGCTAAGGACCAGGTCCTTAAAAAACTTGTCAATGGCACGATCCACAGTTTATGAAGTTAAGCAGGACTGGCTGGAGGATTGGTTTCTAAGCTTGTGCTTTTTCTACATAACATACAGGCATTTAGATGTTAATGAACAAGTTCATTTCAGGAACTGAAGATAAAATAAAAAACATTATTTTTGGTCCATAATTTCCCATATAAAGTAGCTCATCTACATTATGAAAAGAATGGAAACTCTCAGGTCCCTGAAAAAAACTGTTTGCAGTAACTTCTCCATATTGCCAACATACTTTTTTAATGTCATCTTCTGAAGCCTTTTTGAATTCATTTTCAAAAGGACTTGCTAGCTCATTGAATAAACCCACTTCTTCACAGTTCTTCAAGAATCGAGTTGGTGTCGGTGTCTGATCTGAAATGAAAAATAAAAATATGCATTTTTTTTTCAAAATGACAATTAGTCAAATTAGCATAGATATTTTCAGAATATAAAAATACTGTCAATACAACAAGCCAACTAGTCATTTAATTTTTACTTTGGTTATTTATCCAAAAATACGAAAGGTGCTGGGGCATACTTTAGGGAAAAATTCAAATAAAAATCTAAACCTAACTTCATTTTAAAATACATTTAAGATCCAGCTTTTACTTGTGTTATAGAAGCTTGCTGCTATGTCATTCCACCTGAACACACAATCACTAAGTTTAACAACCCATTTAATTTAAATAACTTGTAATAAAAACAGACATATAACTCTTTCTGACAACTAAAACTCCAAACATTTTAGGTTTGGGTTTTATTTTTTACTAAGTGGAAAAAAATTGTATTTTTGGTAGCTTAGGATATTTCTGCATTCATTTTTTCTTAAAAACTGCTTTCTAATTAAAAATAACTTAGAAGACAATTACTACATGTTTCATAACATATTGGCTTCTACACATTTGAATCGAAAGTACTAAAATGACTAAAACAAGATACTTACCAGACACATGGGTCAGTTTTCTTACCCTTCTGGTGTGCGTTATTTTTAATAAAACATGTTATGAGCAAACTTTTCAAAACAGAAGAATGCTAATTCTCATCTTGACAGACAAACCATTTACTCAGCCTGGGTGTTATTAACAGATATAAAACTCAATCCTATGACTGGGCCAGCATTGGACTATAAATTACTGGTGTGGGGGGAGGGGGTTTAGAGAAGAGTTACCTTCTAATTCCTCTCGGCCCCCTTTCAAATAGACTTTAATAAGTACCAGGCTAGTCTGGAGGCACAAGAGGTTGCATATATAAAAAAAATCATATTAAAAATGGTATTTACATTAATAATGGTAATATTTGGAAGGTGGCATTCACTTGCAGTTTTGGTAATTGGGAAGACTTTTTCATTCCAAAACCCAGGGACAAGGTTGTAAAGGGAGATATGACATGTGGTTAAAAAGTCTCCCACGCCTCCGAGGCATACTCCTTTCCCTCTTTTGTTCAGGTCAGTCAGAAGGGGTACTGATGCTCCACCTGCTGGAGACAAACAACTGAGGTTTGTGAACTGGTTAGCCCCTTATAGCAGTGGTTTTCAACCTTTTTTTATTTGTGGACCCCTAAA